TTGTTTGATTCAAGAGACCTGAATATTTTTTTTAGGTTTTTGAGTCTTGAACTTGAACTGATTTATTAATTTGAATTATTGTTTTTAAAATCTTTCTTAGTATTTAAAAAGATATTAACCTGCATTGGCCTGGCTAAAAGCTTTGTAAAGTTGATGTTGGATCTCAAGAAGTCTATTGTAAATCAATTTATTTTTGTTTTTTTTTCTTTTTAAAACAAATCAAAAGTAAAAGACTATTGCTATTAAATAATAATATCTTTTTTTTGTTATTAGAAATCAGCTATATATTATCTGAAGAAGAATTATTGACATCTATCCTTAAAATTGTTTTTTATAAAAAGTGTTTTTTGTAAGAAGTGTTTTTTTAAGAAAATTACTATAAAAGAAAATTTTCTAAAAAATTTTTTTTATTTTTTTTTATTTTTATATAGTACAATTATATATTTTTAGATATATTTTTTCTTTTTCTTTTAGTAGTTTCTTGAAATCAATTTTTTAAAAAATAATAAATAGTAATAATTTATTAGCAATTATATAAGTTAGAATGATATTTATTCAAAACTTATTATAGAACAAAATATTGATTTCAAGATTGTACTTAAAGTTTATTTGAGAATTGAAAACTATTGATAAAGTATGTTAATAAGAAATTTAATTTAACTATAATTCAATTGTCCTATATATCTCTATTGATTTTTTTAAAAAATTAATAAATATATTATGTTGGCCTGACTATAAATTTAAAAATTAATAAAATTAAAATTTATAATAAAAATATAGTAAGTAAACTCAAACTTCTGAAAACAACTATATGAATATATAAAAACTTCTTACAAATATCTTTTTTTGTATATTGTCAAGGAATTAATAAAAAAAAGTTTTTGAAATTTTTAATATTTTAATTGATTTATTTAAATTAAATAATGATTAATAATTCCCGATACTTTACTATAATTTAGTTGATAAAATAAGAATATGATATGACTTTCTAATTTCAAATTGATATTTTAAAATCATCTATTGAAAGGATTTAACCATTTTCTTTAAGTAAGTTTGAATAAACAAAGATAATTTGATTATAATAATTATAACAAATAATTAGATAACTATATAATATACAGTATATATTTTTAAAAAAGTAGATAATATAAATATTTGCAAAAATTTTTTATAAATTTAAAAATATAATATTGAAAATAATTAATTAAGATTATAGGCAAAATGCAATATGACAATATTATAGCAATTAATTTAATCAGGATTTATAACGGTCAAATTTGATAAATACGTTGAACAAAAGATTAGAAAACAAAAGATTCCTGAGACAAAAACGGACATTCGGGAATTTAAAGTTTCTAGGATAGATCCAAGTCCAATGCCATTTAGGAATATACTGTTATGCGTAAAATACCTTAAGAGAAAAATTATTTTTATTGCAGAAAAAAATTCATATCTCGTTATTTTTTATTATTAAATTGTCTATAATAAAATATATCTTAGAGTATGTATGATTTAATTGTTTAAATGAATTATGAAGAGTGAAACCGACGCTAATTTTATTGATGATCCAAAAACGTTAATTATAAAATAAACTAAATCTTTTAAAATTTAATTGTCCTTTTTTTTCTAAAACAAGTGCGTATAATGATGATGGTAAAGTGTTCTTTTACGTGAATCAATCGTCACGGGATGAAAATCTGCTAATCCGCTTTAATTCAAGAGGTTTCTTGAACTTTTTTTTTTTGATTCCCGTAAAAATTGGATGTATGGGAACATGCTGATTTGTTTTTTTGTTTTTTTTTTTGGTTGCATAAAATATCTTACAAAAAAGAAGGGTATTTCGCTGCTACATAAACGTGGATATATTACAAGAAAGATGCTAACTATTCTAAAAAATGAAATTTTTTGAGGAAGAGATTCCTATGCACAGAATGTTAATGTTTTATCAACTGATTCAATAGACATTTGGATTAAACGAGAGGTCGCTTAAAGATTCCTTCCCCTTCTACTTTTAAAAAACCTTTCTAAATCGACTTGAATTAATTTGTGCATTTTTTTTTTTTTTTTTTTTAGAGTTGAGTTTTCAGAGATTTTTCCATTCCATAACTAAATATCTATAAGTGTACCAAGATATAGTTTTGAATAGAGAATAATAGCTACGTAAGATGGTATAAATATCATCGATCGTAATGAGAGATATGAATGTCAGGAAAAAAATGAGATGCAGAAATAGCCGAACGTATTTCGATCTTATCCTTCACAGCACCTTGAATTCCAGGCGCTTGATGTGCTTTTTGGTGATGGGCCGCCTGCAGAGGGAACACATTTTCTGCGTTCTCACTGCTGTACTAATGCATTCAAAACAGAAAATGTGACCACATATTGTGGATGAAACTTCTTTTGGTCGATCAAGACAAATGGCACATTTGAGTTGAAGGCCCCTCGGAACTGAAGCGTTGTTGACTAGAGATGACAATTGTTGAGCAAAAGTCATGCTTTGTGATGGACGGGGAGGTGGAGCGGTAAGCCTATTTTGCGAGTAAGGAGGGGTCATGTTTCCATTTTGTGTTACCCTTTGCGCGCGGGAAGGGGTAGCATCTGATGAGTCATCGTCAATTACAATAATTTCCGGGCTTACTCGGGGCTCTAATGCAAATCTGTGAGGAAACGAAAGGTATGGGGTGTAGGGTGCGGTAAGGTCAATTACTGGCGAAGAAGTCAGATCAATGATGGATGACGGTGACGGATAAGACGGCGAAGACGTAAGGTCAACCACCACCAAGTCTTCGTCTGTGTTTTCCAAATCAGTTTCTTGAGAATTTAAGATTGACTCTGCGTAATTTTCAACATCAAGCACAGATCGAAGAGGGGGTAATGTTATTCCACCATGAGTAGAATGTTCGGGCAAATAAAGAGGAGGTAAAGTTACTCCACCAGTAATGTGCCCATCCATGGAAGCCTGATCCGACGACGATTGAGAGCTCCGAGCAGGTGAATTACAAACGGATGAAACGCGGGCAGGCGAGATTCGAAGAGGTGAATTACGGATGGGCGAATTTCTCTGGGGAGGAGGGAGAATTATTCTAGGAGGATTTATGCCAGTCGCGATAACAGGTACTGGTCAAATAATGTAAACATGCACATTCATATCGTTAAAATCGATGCATCAAATATTTCAAAACTATTGCTTATATGTACGTATGTGTGTGCATACCTTCTTCTTCAGTCTTAACCGTCCTACGTTTGGTTGATCTTGACGGATTGAGCGAACCATTAATGTGCGCCAAAGATCCAAACTCTTTAATTTAAAATGATAACCATTAGCAAATTTTAAATTAATTTAAAATATGGTTTAAGTGCACCACCAACTTATCAATCACATTTTTGTGAACTGTAATTGAGAATGGTTCCTTAAAGAAAGAAAAATAAAAACACCAACCAGCAGTATCAAGAATTCTCTTGGAAGGTCGACGCACCCGCGGTATGGTATATTCTGTCCTTGGACTCCCGTCAATTCTCGATGGATCTTGAAAAACGCTTGGTGGATCATGTGAACCGCTAGAAGACGGTAATCCTTGATTTATTAATTTAAATAAATTATTATATTTACTACCGCAGCAACGAGGTAACAAATGGTAAACATCATAAGGAAAGAAATATGCTCTATTACCATATGGTTCATAAACTAAATCTATAGATTCTTGTCTTTTTTTGGGGTTACGACAGGAGCGAGTTCTTCGACTTGTTCCACTCTCAAATCTGGTAGTCGAGTCAAGAAGTTCACTTTCCTCTGAAAAAGCACCCGTTGCATTCTGCTAAAAAAAATTTTTTTTTTTGTTTAAAAAAAAAAAAAAAATGCACAATTTTTAGCATTCTTTTTATATGCGCGAATAAAAAATGGGGCAAAAAAAAAAGATTTACTTACTCTAGATGTCATTTCAAATTCTTTTTGGCTTATACAAAGATGTTTTGTAAAAACTTTTACTTTCGGTATGTAAAATTTTCCGCTGAGTGCCAAAAAGTGAGCGTACCGTCGGAGCAAAAAAAAAAAATCGGAGTCGTATAATCAAAAAAAAAAAAAAAGAAAAAAAAAAAAAGAAAAAAAAATTTCTCGTTCTCTTTTTTTATGATACAATGAAAAAATATACATTGTTTCACGCGAAGTAGTGCAAGTTTTGTGAACACATTTTGTTACACAAACGTCATATGTCACATGATTTACGGCAATTGCCAGATAAATCACGCGGTCTATTTTTTTTTTTTGGTGATTATCATAACTAACACTTATTCCACGTACAGTATATATATAAGGTGTCAAGGAAAAAAAAATGCCCAAAGAAAAGAAAGAGAGTAAGGTGAAGAAAGAAAAGAAGGAGAAGAAAGAGAAGAAGGAGAAGAAGGAGAAAAAAGATAAACACGTGTCGAAGTCAAAAGACTTGATGGAGGTTACAGAGCAGGTGATCATAAAAGAAGAAGAAACAAGAGAACCGGAAACACCGCGAAAAGAGAATTCTCTGATCGTGCATTATGATTTAAAAGCGTTGGTACCATTTGCTCAACCGTTGGCTTCTCAGGAATTCACTTTGGAGTTGATGCAAACCATTAGAAAAGGTATATTAATTGACGTTAGAACTTCATTCGGGTTCGCTTATTCGTTGACAACGATGATATACGAACGATTTGTATATTACGTCAATCACGTAAGCTTCGAAAAAAAGGCAGTGTAAGCGTGGCGTGAAGGAAGTCGTAAAGGGTTTAAAAAAGAAGTCTAAAGGGCAAGTGGAAATTTGTCATAAATTACGGGCGAATTAAATTAGTTTTTAACTTGGCTTTGACGTGAATGACGATAATAGTCTCGTTGTGATGGCTGGTGATTGTTCTCCGATGGATGTAATCACTCACCTTCCAGTGTTATGCGAAGATAACGATGTGCCCTACATCTTCATTCCTTCAAGAGCCGATCTCGGGTTTTCCTGTGCCACAAAGCGTCCAACTAGCGTGGTGATGATAGTACCAGACTCTAAGAATCCGGAAAACGTTGACTACAAAGATCAATTTGATTCATGCGTCAAAAAAGTGAAGGAACTGGTAGTTTTCCCCTTCCCTTTATTCTTCTTTCGTTTCCTCTTTCCTCTTAAAACTCAAGATTTCTATTTCCCCCCCCCCCCCAGGAACAAAATCTCATATTCTAAAGTGAATTATGTATAAATTCCTTAAATTGCACGTGTTTAATTGTGAATAATATCTATGATTCGTTAATATCACAAAAGTGATGTAAAAGTATTGGATAACTAGAATAAAACGTACATATTATACGCACCAATGAGTCGTTAAACATAGTAAATTAATTTGGTACAACCAATCCAAGTTTTAGGGAGTCATACTTCATATTAAAATTTATAACATTCTTTTGATTGATTCCAACGTTCAAGGTAGCAGTAACAACACCGATTCATACACATTAGGCGGAAATCACGTACATCATGGCTCCAGAAACGAAGAGCCGCAAACCTGCGAGTAAGAGCGGAACAGTAATTTTCGTAAATTTCGTAGCTCGACCTTCACTTTTGATCCTTTTCCCCTGAAATAGATACTGCCTTTAAACAACAACGTTTAAAGGCGTGGCAACCGATTCTTACTCCGAAGACGGTTCTACCAACGTTCTTCATAGTAGGAATAATTTTTGCACCTCTTGGTGGTCTGCTACTATATGCGAGCAATAGTGTAAGCTGTTCATTGGCGTCTTAGGTCAACTCCCTTCTCTAGAGAAAAATAACACACACATACACGTACATATAAATTTAATCCTTTTGCACCACCTTTTCTTTTGTGACTCTAATTTCTCCGTTAGGTTTCCGAAGTGATCATCGACTATACGTATTGTGATTCCAGGGGTATCCATTCTTCCTTGTCATTGAATATAATTAGACCATCTTGACAAAACACAATTAACGTTTGTTTCGTTTGTCAATAATAGCTAGCGTTTATCCAACCTATGAACCCATCCCCTCACAATTTGTGTCAAGTTCTTTCTCTAACTCGAATTCGACCGCCAGTCCACCTCTGTGGAGTCGTGAGGTGGTCACACCTCCTGAATTTATTTTCACTGGCCAAAACATTTGGCGATGTCGGCTTCAATTTACCATTCCCTTTACATTTAAACCTCCAGTATTTATTTATTATCGGTTAACAAATTTCTATCAAAACCACCGAAGATATGTAAAGAGTTTTGACGCTAACCAACTCAGTGGTCAAGCCGTTCCCGCGGCCACCCTGAATAATGGAGATTGCAGCCCATTGGCAGAAACCCCCGATGGTTATGCAATTTATCCTTGTGGCTTGATTGCGAATTCTATTTTTAATGGTAACCATTCGTAACCAGTGTCATTTCACCTTAACACTTCGCATAAAGAGGAAGTGGACTTGATTTCACGATGAGAATGCATCAATAACGGTATTAACCAACTTTCAATGTCAAATTTGAAATGGAAACTTTAGATACGATCAATGTCACATTTATTAACCCACCAGGGTCGACCACAAATCAAATTTATGAGTTTAGTCAGAAAGGAATTGCATGGCCTTCTGACATGAAGAAGTATGGGAAAACTCAATACAGCTTGTCTGAAATCCGACCACCGCCGGACTGGGCTTCCAAATTTCCTAATGGCACTTATACAGAACAATATCCGCCACCCGACCTTTCTCAGGACGAGAGCTTCCAAGTTTGGATGCGCACAGCTGCTCTCCCTGATTTCAGAAAACTGTATGGGAGGAATGACACCACTGCAATGGAAGCAGGAACCTACGAAGCAACCATTGATTACGGTGATTAAATATGGAAATATGTCCTATTTATTCTGCAGCATGTTTGACGATTAATAATGTTGAAATCTATCATGTTCATAGAGTTTCCGGTTACTCATTATGGCGGCACGAAATCACTAGTTATCTCTACAGTTTCATTCCTCGGCGGCAAAAATCCTTTCTTGGGAATTGCATATATTGTAGCAGGGGTTCTATGCATAGTACTTGGATGTCTCTTTACAGCTAGGCATCTATATAAACCCAGGTATTGTATAATTCAAGACTGATGATTGACCGATCTGATCTCAAACAATTACTAATTTGCAATAATTCACAATAGAAAACTTGGAGATCACACTTATCTCTCATGGAATAATAACAGTAATATTGGCAAAGGACGGCAGTAACATGAGACAGATATTTCGAAGTAGTACGTGTAAAGGACAATTTATGAAAATGTGCATAAGGCTATTATTTTAATTTCCTCCATAAAGAATGAATCGAAAAAAAATTTTTTACCGCACATTTTATCTTTTTTCTAATATATCCTAGGTTGTATAATATCAATTTATTCTTGTACCCTTAATAAGTTTTCCCTTATTAAAATTATTATCTTCACTGGAAACCACCGATTTACCTCAAACTTTTCATGATCGGCACAAAATTGAAAAGGTCTCCTCAGTTGTCAAAATACGGGATCTTCTCACATGAACATTCAAAATGCGGGATCTTATAATTTAGGAGGAAAATCTATTATTAGACCCTATTTAAAGATTCCAAATATTTTCCAAACATTTTCCATTTATGGTCGGCAAATTATGGGGTTGTGCATAAATGTATTTTTGGCAACCGACCGTTACTATTTGCAAAATTCATATGCCGATCAATTATTCGTTTACGAATTTGCGCTATTCACTTGTAATATTTTTTTATTTTAATATTTAAACTTGATATTATAAATAAATAGACCAAAGACATTCTGTTAAAGTGTCTTGCCAATGGATGGGAATTAAATTATGAAACAATTTCATGTACGATATACTGTAACTTGATCCTAGTGAATGTATGACAAGTCGGATTATGGTCACTCTTTCAACATTAGGCATAATTTAGGAAACAGACATTAATAGGTTGCTGTTTAAGAATTAAAAATGATAAAGGTTTTAAATAACCAATTAAAAAATAAAACATAAGGTTGCATGCAAAATTATTTATTTGCAATATTATACTATCATTTATTTATTTTTTACTTCTAATTACTTTTTATTCATTTAATATATTATCAAATTTTATAAAGTTTTTTTACTAAAAAATTATTTATTTATTTATTTTGATTTTTAAATTTATCGGCAAATTTTTTTCAAAAATTTTATTGTGAATGATAGTGTTGCATTCCTAGAGATTGATAATATTGAAAATGATAAACTATAAATATTTGAAATTCAAAAAAGTTTTTTTTTTTGAATAAATTAATAATTTACAATTGTACTTATTAAAATTTTATATCTTGTAATTTATCTTATCTTGTTTTTTTAAAACTCTTTAATAGATTAGTTATTTTTATTTTTATTTTTTAAATCCATAGTTAGATTAGTATAGTATGTTTATTAATCATTATAAGAATCAATAGGGATATATAGTACAATTGCATCATGGTTAAATTAAATCTATGTTAACTCATTTGTCAATGGCTTTCAATTTTCAAATGAGCTTCAACCTCTAAGTGTGACCTTGGAAACAATATTTCACTTCATAATAAGTTTTAGATAAATACTCTCCTAATTTACATATAATTATTAGTAGATTGTTACTATTTATTATTCTTTAAGAAATTGATTTCAAGAAACTATAAAAAAAAAAGGAGAAGAAAAAAAAAAAAAAAAAAGAAATATTCAAAAATAACTATTATGCTATATGAAAATAAAAAGAAAAATAAATAAAAATAAATTGCTTTATATCCTTTAAAGGATTTCTACTAAAAACCTTTTTTCATTAGGAGCCAATTTTTTTGAATTATTTTTCTTCTTAATTATTTAAGGAATTTATCTATTTATAATCTTGATTATTTTCTTATGATCATTTGAGATATTTATTGTTTACTCAAATCCAATATCTTGCTCAATACTTTCTTTTTTTTAGTATTAATTTTGTATCTATCTATATAATTTGATGACTTATAATGAATTTTGAGTTTTTATATAACCTTTCAATCATATTATATAATTTTTGATATCTTTAATAGCCACACCTAATTAAAGAAATTTTATTAGTAAATATTTTCTATTGCTCAAAAAGTCAGATTATTCAATAGTTTTTTTGTCTTGTAATAGTATAAGGGTATTGAAGAGAAATAAAAAATTTTATCAATAATGATATTATTATATAATGTTTGGAAAAATGGATTTTTAATCCTAGAGAAAAGTTGTAACTTACAATTTTCTATTTTTTAATCTTACTATCTGACTGAAATAAGAAATAATCTTTTTCATATATTTTATCTAACTAGAATAATAAGAAGTTGAAGATTTTAGCTTGAATAAATAATTATTTTTTTATTATTTAGGAAATTTGATATCTATTCTAATAGTCTTATAATTTCTTTACTTTAGTTATACTTTATTTGAAGAAATAAAATTTATATCAATAGTTTTTCTTTCTTTTATTAATAATATTATTATAATATGTAAATATGATCAATAAGAGCTTATTTATATTCTGTTACTAATATATTTCATGTCAATCAATTAAATGTCAAATAATATTGTATTATCAAAAATTCAGAGTTAAGCTGAAATAGGTAAAATTTCTTAAAAAAATTATAAAAAAAAGATAAATACTTTAAGCAAGCAAAAGACAATATATGATAAGATAAGTAATAAGCTTTTTTCTATTAATAATATCTTTACCTCCATATTGCTTTCAGCTTTAAAACACTAGTCAAAATTGTGTTATTCAGCAGTTGAATTATTACTAAATTTAATTAAATTTAATAATAAAAATATTGCTAAATTCTTTTCAATTGTTGCCACTTGGCATATTACTATTTTGGCAATAAAGTGGCAATCGAAAATTCAATAATCAAAAATTTGGCAATCAAAAATTTGATAATCAAAAAATTTGACAATCAACAATTCAATAAATAATTTATTAACAATTCAACAAAAATTTATTAAAAATTTGTTACAAGATTATTTATCAACAATTCAAAAAAAATTCATCGTTAATTTATTAATAATTTGCAAAAATTTTTCAAAAATTCATTAATTATTTATTAAAAAATTTAACAACTATTTATTAAAACTATTCATTAAAAATTCATTAACAATTCATTAAATATTCAGCAACTATTCATTAAATTATTTATTAAAAGTTCATTGACCATTCATTAAAAATTTGGCAACTATTTATTCAAAAATTTATAAAACTTGTGAAAAAATTATTTATATTTATATATTATTTGGTATTATTTATATAATAATATATTATTAATTAAATTATAATAATATAAATAATATATTATGTATTATATTATAGTTTATATTATTCAACAGTAACAAACTGTTGATAATGACCCTGGTTAACTTAGAGGTACTATTGTCAAGCTACTAGAAGGGTGAAATATTGTCCCTTAAATCTGACTTAGAGTACCTAGTTTAGACTTAGTTTTGTTTAGTCTGAACTAGCTTAGTGGATTCCTTATATTTTTTAAGTAGTGTAGTCCTTTAGCTAATAATATATAACAACGAGTTAATCGCTTTGTGAAAGTCTATAAAATATTTAGGTATTTCTCAATATCTCAATAAAAACATGTCATTGTGGCATAATTGTGGGTTAAAAAAAAAAAATTATAGTTTGTATTATTCATAATTTATAAATATAACCTCAATTCAAAAAAATTCATGTATAAGTTTATCAATTTTTTTACTTTATTGTTAATGAATAGTTGTCAAATTTTTAATAAATAATTAATGAACCTTTAATGAATAATTTAATGAACAGTTGCTGGTTTTTTAATAAATAGTTAATAGATTTTTAATAAATATTTTTAATAAATAGTTGCTGAATTTTTAATAAATAGTTGATGAATTTTTGATCAACTATTAATAAATTAATGCTAAATTTTTATTGAATTGTTAATAAATAATTTTGTGATGAACTTTTAATGAATTATTGTTAAATTGATAATTAATTATTGCCAAATTGATAATGAATTATTTGATAAATTGTTAATAAATTTTTTGACAAATTGTTAATATGTCAATTTTTGTAGTTATTGATTTATTTATATCATTTTTGCTAAATATCATACAAGTGGTAGTATGCCAAATAATTTTTTTGCCAAATTGTTTATTTTTTATTATATGTTATATGAGTAGCAGTATGCTAAATAATTTTTTTTCAACTAGTGTTAGATAACTTGTTAATTAAATATAATTAAAAATATGATAATAAAATAAAGAAATTAAATAATATATGCTATGTAAATCACTACTTTGCCCTAATAATTGGATCTATTCTATAAACCAATAAGACACACCTTGTATCACATATGTCATATGATCTAAAAATAGAACTAAACACAATAAACAAGAATTATAGATAATAATTAAAGAAAAAAAAACTATTAATTAAGGTTAATAATTTCTTTCTACTTAAGTAATGAGTTTTATAAATCAAGAATTCACAAGAAGTTGACATTCACAGAACTTTAACTTAGTAATAATGGTCAAAATTATATATCTTGTTCTTCAAATTTGCTCAATTCCAGACCTTTAAAAGAGACTATACGCTAGTCGAAATTGTGTTATTTGGCAACTAAATTATTGCTGAATTCTTTTTTATTGCTGCTACTTGACATATTACTATTTTGGCAATAAAGTGGCAATTAAAAATTTGGCAATCAAAAATTTAACAATAAAAAAAATTATTATATTAACAATTTGTTAAAAAATTTATTAACAATTCATCAAATAATTCATTAACAATTTAACAATAATTTATTAAAAATTTATTATAAAATAGACCTGTG